TCATAGTGCTTGCTGGCTGCTTCAGTACATAGGAAAAGGTTAGGTAAGAGCTCCGTATGTCTTTAGCTTCTACATGACTATACAGCAAAAACAAATGTACAAACATGAACAAAAGTATCATTCAATGAGATGTATTGCCATAACTTCAAATTAACAGCAATCATGTGGCACTCATTTAAAAATAAAATATGTGAGTTGCCTGGCATAGGTCAGGCTCTGTTCCCATCCCTGGGGGTAGAGCAACAGAGATAAGCAACAGACAAATGACAAGTAAAGTATATAGTATGTCAGGGGGTAATGAGTGCCATGGTGGGGGACAGCACAGGGAAAATGACTGACAGGATGGTCGGGGAAGTGGCACTTAGGCAGAAACCGGAAGGAGATGAGGGAGTGGGCCTGCGCCTATCTGCAGGGAGAACATTCCAAAGGAGCCTGCGACAAAGGAACAGACCCGGGAGTTTGGAGTGTGTTTGGTGTCTTGGAGGAAAAGCAAGGAGGCCAGTGGGATTGGAACAGCGAGGGAGTTGTAGGGAATGAGGTGGGGTCAGGCCAAGGCAAAGTATACGCCAGATAATAATGTCGGCTGAAATTACCTCTTGGATTCATCTCCTACGGCTGCCCAAGCAACGTTACTCCCTTGTACACAGCCATTTACTGTTCTGCAAATAGATTGTATTCACTCAGCCTTCCGTGCCTTCTTTGCTTATCTAGGCTGACTCTTTCACACATCAAGTCAAACTTCATGGTGGCCTGCCCTGGAAAGCCTCCCCCACCCTGATTAGGCAAGCATCTCTTCAGGATACCTTGACACCTTGTGCACCGCTCTGTCCTGTCCCCCTTCCATCCCTGTGTCCTAGCTGGTGGCTTATTTATTTGCCTGACACGCTAGAAAACAAGCTTCTCCAGAGCAAGAAGCTTTCTCTCTTTTTTCCTTTCAATATCTTCAACGCATAAATACCCATATGGTCATAACAGATCATTAAGATAGACCATGTTTGTTGAATGAATATATAATATCAGTTATCACTCATTTTTTATTTTACTTTTTTTAAGATTTTATTTATTTACTTGTCAGAGAGAGAGAGAGAGAGAGCACGAGCAGGGGGAGTGGCAGGAAGAGGGAGAGGGACAAGTAGGTTCCCTGCTGAGCAAGGAGCCCGATGCAGGACTCGATCCCAGGACCCTGGGATCATGACCTGAGCTGAAGGCAGATGCTTAACTGACTGAGCCACCCAGGCATCCTATCACTCATTTTTAAAAATATTTTATTTTATTTTGTTCATTTGAGAGAGAGAGCACAAGCAGTGGGGGAGGAGTAGAGGGAGAGGGAGAAGCAGACTCCCCACTGAGCAAGAAGCCAGATTCGGGGCCTGATCCCAGGACCCTGAGATCATGACCTGAGCTGAAGGCAGATGCTTAACTGACTGAGCCACCCAGGCGCCCCAGTAATCACTCATTTTAATAATACCAACCCAGACTGTAGCACTTGCTTGCATACTGGCCTATAGTGCTCGCTACCAATTGTGAAGGGGCACTAGGTGCCAGGTGTTGAACTGAATTAGGCACATTATCATTGGCCATTATTCATTATCTTCCAGCAATCCTACAAATTAGATATTATGATTCTTACCTTTATCTTACCTTTAATTGTAAGAAAGATAAAATGAGACAGGTTACATTCTACCACCCAGAGCCAGGATTTGAATCCAGATTTATCTAAACCCAAAACGACACCAAGCTGTAAATTGGACACATGTGGATTAGGAACTGCATTTGGTATAATTTTCCAAACTCCTTGAGAAATAAGTATCATCCATAAGAGATTTATAGAACAACTTTCCATACTGTATTTACATTGCTTGACATCACTGTGGTTTTTAAGGAAGGAAGATGGAAGGCCGCCTGCCAATCACTCAGTCTTTGTGAAGATGTTGGCATAGTTTACCCCGAGGAATATAGGAGGAGCATGTGGAACTGAGGTGACATGAGGACATGAAGACAACGGATCCTACAGAAGTGTGGGTGCGTCGGGGGAACATGGGCGAATCTGGCGTTTCTCTCATTATTGAGTGTTATCCTCATTTTTTTATGTACTGTATATAACAATATTTATATATGTACAGAGATAACAAGTCCAAAGTGTATAAAACAGTGTCCTGGTTATTTCTAAGCTATAGAAATTTCTATTTTTTCCCCCTGTGCTTTTCTGCATTTACTAAAGTCTCCACAACTTAAAAAAAAAAACAAAAACTCATGATGAAACCCAATAAGAAAATGAATCCAGTTAAAATTGGGCAAAAGACCAGAACAGACACATCACCAAAGAAGATATACAGATGGCAAATAAGCATATGAAAAGATCATCAAAATCATACATCCTTAAGCGATTGCAAATTAGAACAACAATGAGTTACCATTACACACCTGTTAGAATGGTTAAAATCCAAAACACTAACTCCAGATGCTGGTGAGGATGTCGAGCAAAAAGAAGTCTCGTTCACTGGTGGTGGGAATGCAAAATGACATAACCATTTGGAAGAGAGTTTGATGGTTTCTTAAAAAACGAAACATGCTAGTACCATACAATCCAGCAATCACATTCCTTGGTTCTCACCCAAAGGAATTGAAAACTTACATCCACACAAAACCTGCACATGAATGCTCCTTAGCTTTATTCATAGTTGCCAAAACGAGATGCCTTTCAGTAGGCGAATGGGTACATACACTGTGGTTCATCCATACGATGGAATATTATTCTGCACTAAACACAAATGAACTATCAACCATGACAAGGAAGGTAGAAGAAAGGTATCTGAATGCTAAATGAAGAAAGGAAGTCCAGAGCGGCTACATGCTATATGATTCCAACTATATGACATTCTGGAGAAGACAAAATTGTAGAAATGGTTAAAAGATCAGTGGTAGCCAGGAGCTCAGGGGAGGGAGAGACGAGTAGGTAAAGCACGGGGGATTTTTTTTGTTCTGTAAGGAACTATAATGATACATAGATGTCATTATACATTGGTCCAAGCCCATAGAAGGTATACCATCAAGAGGGAACCCAAATGTAAACCGTGGACTCTGGTGAACAATGATGTGTCAATGTCGGTTCATCAGCTGCAACGAATGTAGATCTCTGGGCGCCATATTGAGGGTGGAGGGGGCTGTGGCGGGGGGAGGGGGATGTGGGAAGTCCTTGCATTTTCCTCTCAATTTTGCTGTGAACCTAAAACTACTCTAGAAAATGAAGTCTACTTGGTGTTTTAAGTCTACGATAAGAAATTTTGCTATTCAAAATCCAGGAGAATGCTCTCCAAGAAATCCTGTGTTTGTTTGTATTCCTTGCCATTCCAAAACAGGTATATTCCTGATAAGGAAGGTGGAGGTGACAGCACATGTTAAGAGATGCAGGAGAATATGCTTCAGAATGCTGCTGTGTTTGGGAAAGTACTCATAAATAATCATCTCAGAGGAAGAGACTGAGAAAACCACCTCATCTGAGGTCAGAATAAACCAGCAGTCCTAAAAGAGCAGGGGGCAGCATTCGCTCATTTCCTCTGCAAAAGAACCCAGTAAGGTGAGTAGTAATATTGTCTCACTTTACAAGTCAGCAACCAGGGCATGGAAAGATTACTCTGTTCCTAACCATCCACTGGTAAAATGGGGGACGCCGGCTGACTGCTCGGTCATGCCATCTCTTAATGACCATAGCTAGCCCTGGGGCCTCTAAAAATAGCTCTACAGGTTGTTCATTGTGCAAGGTTGCCCCCCACCAAAGAAGCCTGCGGACAGAAATCCAATTCCCCCTCGGCTTGCCACCCTGGGGGCCCGCTGAGCTGCATCCGCCCAGAGAGGTGCTTACCTAATTAGCACAAAGGTGCTCTGAGCCCTGTACGGAGTTGAATACTTTGTGTGGATTTAATCTCATTGAATCCATTTGCCCCACACCTCCCCCCAGTCTGCTTTCAAGATCCCAGTGTTTCCTACACATGCAAAGAACTCCGTATTACTTACATTTTAAGAAATTTAGGTCACATGAATCACTTGCAAACCTACCTATGAACACCACTGGCTTGCTTTGGTTTTATCTGTCAAAAGATGATTATAGATGTTAACTGCTTGTGTAGCTTTTAACTAAGCCACTGGATCAACTAGGGGAGAATTTCTAACTTTGAAATAGACCTTTAATAATTTAAAAACATAACGGTTTTAAACTTGTATTTTATGCATTTTAGTACTAATGTACTTATCTATTCACTTATGCATTCAATAAACACTTCGTGTTTGTTCATTTTATTTTTTATTTGAAGGCCAGGCACTATTTGGTCATGAGAATCCGATAAATAAAACGCTTGTTACCTTAAAGAAATTCGTAGTCCGGGTGCCCGGCTGGCTCAGTTGGTAGAGCATCTTGATCTCAGGGTTGTGAGTTCCAGCCCCACGTTGGGTGTAGAGATTACTTTAAAATCAAGAAGGAGAGAAAGAGGGAGGTAGGGAGGGAAGGAAAGAAGGAGGGAAGGAAGGAAGGAAAGAGAGAAAGAAAAGAAAAGAAAGGAAGAGAGAGAAAGAAAGACTCCTGGTCAAATAAGGGAGAAATATAGGGACTAGAACTCATTTATTTGTTTACCATTATATACCTAAGGCTTGTTGTATGTCAAACTCTGTTGGGCACTAAACTAAGGGTAGAAAGAAGCTTTGAACTGTTATCACCCGATAGGGCAAATGCTTCTCATACTAAGAAATATTGTTAGTCAAGTCAAAGTTACCTCATCTCAACGAACTAAACACACTGGGAATTTCCAGTACAGAGGTCACTTACTTAAAATTGCTGTAGTTGCCTCATAGAATCTTCTCAAACCACTCTTTCTGATGGTAGTCTCAGAGAAATGCTCAAATAGAATTGCTTTTTAAATTGTTAAAATTCCTTTTTTTTTTTTTTTAAGTAATCTCTACACCTAGCATGGGGCTCGAACTCAGGACACTGAGATCAAAAAAATCACACGCTCTACCGACTGAACCAGCCAGACGCCCCCAAATTCTTAAAATTCTTGATAAGCTCTGAGCTTAATTACACTACCCGAAAAAGAGTAACATTTTCATGCGTGATGTAAATACTGATGTGTGAATTTTTAAATCTTCAAAATTAGTAACAATTAGCATAATGCTTCCCAGATGGGGGGCATTTTCACAGATGAATTTCATCTGATACTCATAAACCCCTGAAAGAAGGTGTTAATTTACTTTCATTTCTTTCTGGGAGATTAAGTACGCCCCGTAAGTTTTGCTCATGATCCTTTAGTTAATAGGTAGAGCCAGAGTCTAAACCAAGCCAAATATCATGCAGATTTTACAATGATATTACAAACTTCTCTAGAGTATTTTGTTATTCCACTCTTGACAGAGACATTATTATTCATTGACAGCTTAATGAAAAGGTTTATGTTATGATAATTCAATAGGAAACAGATACTTTAAACAGATCTGGAAAGTAGTATCTACTTTGGTGGAAGCCACTGTTGCTTATAATAACATATAATGGCTAGATCCGTAACATTTTGTATTATATACTGTCAGAGCACCCATAATAGCTAATTCATCAGGCTTTGCAATGAAAGCAGTCCAGAATATAATTTCTGTTTTGATAATTTTACTAACTTGTAGGAACCACCACCAGGAAATTCCTAGGAAAGTAGTGCCATCTAGTGGTAATATCAGGTACCTGCAATAAATTGCAAATAAAATATACAGGATTTATTCAGCCATAAAAAGGAATGAAATACTGATAAGTGCTACATCATGGATGAATCTTGAAAACGTTGTGGTAAGTGAAAGAACCCAGACACTAAAGGCCACATACTGTATGCATTTATAGGAAATATCCAGAATAGGTAAATCCATAGAGACAGAAAACAGATGAGTGCCTGCCTGGGGCTAGGGGAAAGAAAGATTGGGGAGTAATCCCACAGTAGGCAGAGGGTTTTCCTTTGGGGTGATGAAGCTGTTTTGGAACAAGATAGTTGATGCATACGGTGGGGAGTGTACTAAATGTCACTGAATTGCTTGCTTTAAAATGGTTAATTTTGGGGCGCCTGGGTGGCTCAGATGTTAAGCGTCTCCCTTCAGCTCAGGTCATGGTCCCAGGGTCCTGGGATCGAGTCCCGCATCGGGCTCCCTGCTCAGCGGGAAGCCTGCTTCTCCCTCTGCCACTCCCCCTGCTTGTGTTCCCTCTCTCGCTGTGTCTCTCGTTGTCAAATAAATAAATAAAATCTTAAAAAAAATGGTTAATTTTGTTATGTGAATTTCACTTCATTAAGACATATTTTTAATAAAATACATGTATGAAACATATTAATTTGTAATAGCTGTATTTACACAAAACTTATAATAAACCATATTTGTCCTGTCATTTGTGGGCTGAGGCAATGCTCTAGGTGCTATGAGAATGTGAAGGTGTGTAACCCAGTTTCTATCCTTAAAAGTTACAATTTAGTGGTGAAGCATCGTACATTCAAATAACAATAGTAGAATGTGGAATGTAATAAGTGGCACAAGGGAGAGGAAAGATGACTGCTCTCGTCAATGGGAGTAGGGCACAACACTTCAGGGGGCGGGTGAGGCAGGGCTCCATGCAGCAAAGACCCCTGGGAAAGTTTCCAGAGCTGGAGCTTGATGGAAACCAACACACAGGTGCGGAGAACCTCAGCTTTAATCTAAACATGCTGCCATCAAGCCCAGCAAATGCAGCAGTGCGCATCTCGCTGATGCCTGTTTTAGCAGTGAGATCCAGGCACTAATATCCCGAAAGGCAGCACTCACCTAGAGGGCACAAGGCCATTGGCTGGAAATGAACTCCCACTACACCACATTGCTGAGAGGTGGAGGAGCAGTCTGTGGAGTCCTGGCCAGCCAGAGCTGGGGCAGGTGACGGTGAAGGGTGGTGGCTTGGGGGAGTTCCACCTGGTGGATTCAGAGCCCAGATGTGAGCAGGCCGACTTAGAGAATTAGATCATAAGTGAGGGAGCAGAGCCCGGACTTGGATGTCAGCACACAATAGTCATTCCTTCTTCCCACCTAGTATTTTTTCTGCCTTGCTGCCTTTGGGTGGTCATCTCATTTATTCCCCATTATTTGTCATGCAGCAAATATTTACTGAGTGCCAGAAACTGTCCAAACCTTGGAAATATAAAATTAAAATAAAAGACAATATTCTTGCTCACAAAGGGCTCATAGTCTTTGAAGAACTAATCTGTTAACAATGATCATATGGTCACATGATTTGCTCTAGTGACAATATATACAGGGGTGCTCAGGGTAAGGAATCCCTGAGTCTGATTAGAAGAAAGAAAAGGACCAGTGTTCCTAATCTTATTAAATCCAACACCCCTTCCTAATAAGGAATATATTGTAATGCCCTTTTGGCCATCCTGAAATAAGATTCTTGGAGGTAACTTACCTAACAGAATTTTAAAAGAATCAACCTGAATACCCTATATAATACCCTAAAATTAATGCAAAGGAACAAAAAGACAGTAATTTATAATATAGAATGTTTCAACAAGTAAATAGTCATAAACGCATTCAAAGCTAAAATAGCTTAAGCCTATGGTAGAATTGCCATGGATGTGACAGCTAGAATACAGAATAGTACAGAATAATACAGGTATATAGTGTTGGTAACTTAAAAGCACAGGAACACACAAAAACTTGAACAAGAGGGGCGCCTGGGTGGCTCAGTTGGTTAAGCATCTGCCTTCAGCTTAGGTCATGACCCCAGGGTCCTGGGATCGAGTCCCGCATCAGGCTCCCTGCTCAGTGGGATCCTGTTTTTCCCTCTCCCTGCTGCTTCCCCTGCTTGTACTCTCTTTCTCTCTCTGTGTGTGTGTCAAATAAATAAATAAAATCTTAAAAAAAAAAAAAACTTGTACAAGAATGTCTATGGCGGCATTATCCACCATAATGGAAAAGTGAAAAGAACCCAAATGTTTATCATATAATGATCAACAAAAGGTGGTACATCCATACAATGGAATATTATTCAGCAACAACAACAAAAATGAAATACTATATCATATCATGGCACAACATGGACAAATCCTGAAAACAGTATGTTACGTGAAAGCCAGTCACACTACCACGTGTTACGTCGTTCCATTTATACGAAATGTCCAGAATGGGCAGCTCTACAGAGATAGAAAGTAAACTAGCAGTTACCTAGAGCTTAGGAGAAGGGTTGGAGACAAATGGGGAGTGACTGTTGATAGTATGGGTTTTTGAGGGGGCGTGATGAAAATGTTCTAAAATTGACTATGATAATGGTCACACAACTCTGTGATTATACTAAAAGCCATTGAATCGCACACTTTTTTATTTATCTATACTTATTTATTTAAGTAATTTCTACCACTGACATGGTGCCCGAACTCATGACTCCAAGATCATGAGTCGAATGTTCTTCCAACTGAGCCAGGCAGGCACCCACTGAATTGCACACTTTAAATGGGCAAATTGTATGGTTGGTAAATTATGTCTCAATAAAGCTGTTTTTATTTTAAGATTTTTTTAAAAGATTTTATTTATTTATTTGACAGAGAGAGAGAGCATGCAGAAGCAGGGGGAGCAGAAGAGGGAGAAGCAGGCTCCCCACTGAGCAGGGAGCCCGATGTGGGACTCCATCCCAGGACCCTGGGATCATGACCTGAGCCCAAAGCAGACGCTTAACTGACTGAGCCACCCAGGCGCCCTCAATAAAGCTGTTTTTAAAAAGCAAATTACCGGGGCACCTGGGTGGCTCAGTCAGTTAAGTGTCTGCAGTCGGCTCAGGTCATGATCCCTCTGCCCCTCCCCCCAACTCATGTGTTCTCTCTCTCTCAAATAAATAAAATCTTAACACACACACACACACACACACACACACACACACACACACACACACGCTTCAAGCTATAACAGCTCCTGATAGATGTCCTTTGCTAAAGTTAGAGGTGGTAATATCCTAGTATAAATTAAGAACAATATAAGTCTTGATTCATGATCTTACTCAATAAGGTATCTTTCATGATGCCTAACATGAGGTGTAACTGAAAACAAATAGAAATAACACCACTGTTAATCCAAGACTGTTAACAATGAGCCAGGCGACCGAGGCCAACCTCATTAGTGATGTCATGTTGATAAAATGTCATGTTGATATAATGTGATATAATGTGATAAGAATGGCAATTTACCTCTGTGGTCTTCCCCAAATCCATCACCCCAGCTCGATCATGGGAAAACACCAGACAAATCCCAACCAAAGGAGATTCTACATAATGCTTGTCCAGTACTTAAAACTGTCAAGGTCATCAAAAACAAGGAATCTGTCCCAACCAAGAAGAGCCTAAGAAGACATGATAACAAAATGTAAGGTAGTATCCTGGATATGCTCCTGGAACAGAAAAAGAACATTAAGTAAAACTATCAACTCTGAATAAAGTATTAGTTAATAATATAGGTTCATTAATTGTAACAAATATATCCTGCTAATGTAAGATGTTAACAGAGAGAAAGCCAGGACACTATATATATGGGAGTCCTGCACTATCTTCCCATTTTATTTTCTCTAAATCTAAAGCTGTTCCAGGGCACCTGGGTGGCTCAGTCAGTTAAGCGTCTGCCTTTGGCGCAGGTCATGATCCCAGGGTCCTGGGATCGAGTCCCGTGTCAGGCCCCTTGCTCAGTGGGGAGTCTGCTTCTCCCTCTCGCCTCCGCTCATGCTCTCTCTCTCTCTCTCAAATAAATAAATAAAATCTTTTTAAAAAAGGTGTTCTGAAATAAAAATATACTTAAACATGAATTTCAACATACAATAAAAGCACGGATTTATATTTCATACATTCAGAGAAGTATAGGTAATAACATAAAAGCCACTCTCCCCCAAACCCAGCTTATTTCTCAACATATGAAACCACCTCATGTTCATCTATGCCTCTCTCCCCTCATAAACTTACCTTGAACTTCATGTTATTTTTTTTAAGATTTTATTGATTTACTTGAGAGAGAGAAAGAGTAAGAGAGAGAGAGAGCATGAGAGGGGTGAGGGGCAGAGGGAGAAGCAGATTCCTTGCTGACAGGGGAGCCCGACGTGAGGCTCAATCCTGGGACTCCACCCAGGTGCGCCCCCCCATGCATGTTTTTATATTTCTAATATACAAGTATATATCCATAACCAATCTGTAGGATTAAGATCACATATTTCCACAAGTACATATACATGCAAATGAATAGAAAAGCAATTGGAAACGTATGGACCAAATTGCCATGAGTGCTTCCTTCTGAGGAGATGGAGGGTGAACAGGGGTAAAGTGGAACTCTGATTTGATGTGTTACTGAATTGTCACAAGGAGGTTTTGTAACTTTTACAATTTTTAACAATTATTTATTATTTTTTAAAATTATTTTTAAAAGTAATCTCTATACCCAACACAGGACTTGAACTCACAACCCTGAGATCAAGGGTCACAGGCTCTACCGACTGAGCCAGCCGGGACCCCTGCTTTTATAATTTTTAAATTGGCAAAACAAAAACAAAAGGAACCATGGTTTGTTTATTTATTTATGAAAATGTAGTTTTAATTTTTATTATTATTTTTTTAGAGAGGGGGAGAGAGCAAGGGAAGGGGCAGAGGGAGAGGGAGAGAGAGAATCTTAAGCAGGCTCCGCACCCAGTGCAGAACCCAACACGGGGCTCAATCCCACGACCCTGAGATCATGATCTGAGCCAAAATCAAGAGTCAGATGCTTAATCAACTGAGCCACCCAGGCACCCCAAAAGAAACATGCTTTAGATCACATCATCCTTCCGCTCAGAAAAACTTTGACTAGTTGCCTTCACCTCACAGAGTGTTCTACAGCCAGAAGCTCTCACTAATGTCTATTGATGCTAAGATATTATGAGTACTTACCTTCAGTATTCTTTGCTGCCTTGAATCCAATGGCTCTCAACCTTGATTTCACATTTAGAATCATTTAGGGAGAGTTAAGCCATACTGACGGCCCAGTTCCTTTCCTGACAAGTTAATTGACATCTGTGCAGATAGGGCCAAGAAATCTGCATTCTACCAAGTCTCACTAGTGATTCCTAAGCTCATTAATGGCTTTATCACAGACCACACATTTAAGCAGACGTTTAACACTTGACTGAGACATCTAGATGGTTCTTGGCCTCGTTAGCAAAACAAGTATCTTGTATTGTAGAAAACCACTCAATACTAAATAGAAAAATGCTTGAAAAATTGAATGATGTTGGGATGCCAGGTGGCTCAGTTAGTTAAGCACCCGCCTTCAGCTCAGGTCATGATCCCAGGGTCCTGGGATAGAGTCCTGCATCGGACTCCTGGCTCAGCGGGGAGCCTGCTGCTCCCCCTACTTGTGCTATCTGTCTCTGACAAATAAATAAATAAAATCTTAAAAAAAAAAGAAAAATTGGATGATGTGTATTTTTTTTATAGTTTAATGTATTTTAATAGCAAACTTACAGGAACAGCACAGAAGACAGACAACATTAAAAACATGTACTTGCATGTAGGACAACTCAGTTAGAAAAGTACAGCGAATGGATGGATCTACTGTATGATAAAAATGCTACAAACACCATTTAGTTGCCGTCAATAAGAAATTTACTTGTTTTAAAAAAATCCAAATGCTGGCATTGTCCAGAAAAATTTAACAGGTTTATTTATAATTGTTATAAAGTTGAACTGCTGAAACGTGTTCACTGAAACATTTTGACTTGCATTAATGCTTTATGTCCCCGCATTTATATTAAAAATTCACACACAAATGACAATGGAAAACCTGCCAATACCTGATTTTTCCACTTGCAATCATATACTTAGGTACCTTTTGACCCCATGGAAAAAAAATATCTAACGTTCAGAACTACCAATAACAGGAAGAAGAGAAATTTTTTTTTTTTTTAAAGAATGAAATGTTTTCCATCATAGTGGATTCTTAAGCACGTTCTCCACGTATGCGGCGCGCTAGCTGGATGTCTTTTAGCATAATTGTGACACGTTTGGCATGGATAGCACACAGGTTGGTGTCTTCAAAGAGGCCCACCAGATAGGCCTCGCTTGCCTCCTGCAAAGCACCAATAGCCGCGCTCTGGAAGCGCAGATCTGTTTTGAAGTCCTGAGCAATTTCTCACACCAGACGCTGGAAAGGAAGTTTGCGGATCAGAAGTTCGGTGGACTTCTGATAACGTCTAATTTCACGGAGTGCCACGGTACCAGACCTGTAACGATGAGGTTTCTTCACCCCTCCAGTAGAGCCCTCTACTGATTTTATTATAAAAAAGATTTTATTATAAAAAATCTTGTGGGTAGAAATCAAATGTCTAGGCAAAATACTTGTCAAATTCCTTGCATTGTCACAGGAGCTTAGAAGGCTCTTGGGAAATACCTTTTGGTTGAATGGATGGAGAAGGAATGTTGAACAAAGAACAAAAATTACCAGGGAGCCCAAAAAAGCTGAGGAAAATCTAACTGGAGGAAGGACTCACTTGTGCAAGATTTACTGAGGACTTACTCTGTGCCCGACTCAGTGCCGAACCCTAGAGTCATTAAGATTCTAGCAAGATTAGGACTTTTTGGTGTTTCATGGCTGAGGTGTGGAGAGAAATGGTGGCAACACGTATTTTGCCTTTATACGGTCCTCTATCCTGTGCTTACTCTTCTCTGATGAGGAAACTGAAATCTTTCCTAAACATCCAAAGACCCAAAAGCTGAAGATAATGTCCCCACAAGAGAACAGAGTGAGTGAGCCAGAAGGGGACGGGGGACGGTGGGGGTTGCGGGGGCGGTGCGGGACGGGGAGAGGAGGTTGTGGGGCAAACGTCCTGAGGGTACTGGCCACTTCCCCTCAGCCCCCTGAGCAGTTGTACACACCTTCACAGTCATCATTTCCGAGCTGGCATTCCAAACCTTCTTTGAGCTCCAAAGGACAGAGTAAAAGAGGGTAAATTATGTCTTCTCAAACTTCAAAGCAGCAAAATGTTAAGGAAATTCAGACTACTTGGGTGATTCACACACAGTGCCAGTGTCCTGCCACCATCTGTTTTCAATCACGAGTGACGCAAGTGCCGCGTATTCTTCAATAAATATGGGAACCAGCTGCCAAGATGAACTTTTACTCATAGCATATTTTTAAAGCATAAGCTTCCAAATTCAATGTGTAGCAGAAGTATAAAGATTTTTTTAAATTTTATTTTATTGTTATGTTAATCACCATACATTTCATCATTAGTTTTTGATGTAGTGTTCCATGATTCATTGTTTGTGTATTTGCAACAATGTGGATGGAACTAGAGGGTATTACGCTAAGCGAAAGGATTTTTTTTTTTAAAGGCTAGAAAGCCTTTTCCAGTAGAATGGAATGTCAAGGTCAATTATATGCTTATTCTGTTTCTTCACTAAACAGAAAAGTTTGTCTTCCGTAATCACGCCAGTTGACTTTTTTAGTCAATGTGTATTAATCACCAGCGTAACCCCGATTTGATTTAAACAGCAAAATGTGGTATAGTCCTATGATTAGAACGTTCTTTATAGTCTCTACCTTTGATTGAATAAAATACCAACTTGAACCTTTTTGGAAAGAAGTGGTCTCTGTCTTATAACCCATTCTCTGTATCAGTACCTTCAGGAAAGTATTATTGGAAATAAAGAAATGGAGGGGAGAGAGAAGAAACAAACAAAAAAGCTAGTGAGACAGAAAGAGAGGGAGAGAGGGAGGGAGAGAGAAATTTCGGGAAGCAGAATATGTGGCTCAAAAGCCTTAACAAATGCCTCTACTTAGCAGGAAGGGGAGGGTTTCTAAAGAACAATGAGGCTTGGCTTCAGTGATGTAATTGACTCATGTCAAAAATCATTTGGGAGTTTGTATCCCGTCTGTTAACTCTTGATTGAAGTGCAACAAGGAAGCTTTAGGAGGTCATAATTGCATGAAATGCAACAATTAAAGAAAGCTGACTTTGAATAAAATTTTTAATATAATGTAAATGTTTATTAATGATAAGATATGATAGCAATCTATAAACTCACACTGTAAGTCCAGGAAACAGCTCCGTAGACCTAGATGTAGATACACATATATGTCTTTGCTGTGAAATGATTTCATATAGCTTAAGCTTTCAAAATGATGCAACTTATGCTTCAGAATAATACAGCATACATTTACAGACTAAAAACAAAAAGTAGGCTTTATTTTCTTGATATTTTCATTTCGTTATCACCTCACCTCAATGAGAAAAAAAAACAACACATGTCGCTAGTTGTAGATAAATTAAAAAACCTGGGGAGAAAAATTTTAGCAATTTCATAGTAAGAGTTGAAGACAATATGTTTATTTTAATAATCTTTAATTTAATATAGTACAATTTTTTTTCAAAGTAACATGGTTTCAGGATGTCCTAGAAATTAAGAGTTTGGTAAAAGTACCTAAATAACAAATGAATAAGTGATTTGCAGTCATTTGGGAATTTGGCATTCCAGAGCCTGAAGAATTTAAAACAACCCCTCTCCTTTTCTCAATTCATGGAGAGCACTACTTATTTTCATTTTATTTTTAATTCTTAATTTTATTTTAATTCCAGGGCAGTTAACAGTGTTATATGAGTTTCAAGTGTACAATATAGTGATTCAGCAGTTTTATACATTACTCAGTGCTCATCAACCTAAGTGTCCTCTTAATGCCCTTCCCTGCTTCACCCATCCCCCCACTTACCTCCCCTCTGGTAACCATCAGTTTGTTCTCTATAGTCTGTTTTTGTTTTTTGTTTTTGGGTTGTTTTTTTTTTGGTTTGTCTCTGTCTTTTTTGTTGTTGTTGTTAACTTTGTTCATTTGTTTTGTTTCTTAAATTCCATATTGGAGTGAAATCATATGGCATTTGTGTTTTCCTGACTGACTTACTTTGCTTTGTACTATACTCTTTAGTTCTATCCATGTCATTGCAAATGGCAAGATTTCATCTTTTTTATGGCTGAATACTATTCTATCGTATATATATATATATATATATATATATATAATACATCTTTTTTATCAGTTCGTCTATTGATGGACACTTGGGCTGCTTCCATAATTTGGCCATTGTAAATAATGCTGCAAAAAACATAGAGGGGCATGTATCCTTTCGAATTAGTGTTTTCATCTTCTTTGGGTAAATACCCAGTAGTAGGATTACTGGATCATATGGTAGTTCTATTTTTAATTTTTTGAGGAACCTCCATACTGTCTTCCACAGTGGCTTACTTATTTAAAAAAAAGAAGTAATGAATTTCAATTACTTTTATGTTTAAATTTGGAGGAAATGGAAAAATATCTCTCAATCTTTGGATTGTGCCAACCCGGAGATGAGCTTTAGGACTAAACTCAGCGCCTGGCTCACGAGAAGTGATTAATAAATACTTGTTGCATTTAATAGTCCTTTTGTGGAATGGTGATTAACAAACAGGAATTCGCCTAACTTCTGTCATGCGAACCTTTACAAACATGCTCTCTGTTAGAAAGCTGAGTTTTTGGTCATAATTTTTCTTGCTGTTGTTGGAGAAAATCTGGAGGATCCCTGGGTGAAGAAGGACCACATGATTGCAAGAGGTGGTTGATGTTTTCCCACAGCCTAAAATAATTAGACTACGACACTGCCTCTGCTGTTCAGGACAACGGTCTTTTTGGAAAAAATGGAATCTTTAGGTTTCCACACAATTTGTCCTTAAAATTTCCAGGGTGTTTGCAGAGGGCTTAGAACATGGAAAACGTTTGAGTCTTCAGAGACGATAGTGGTACTAAGTTGCAGGCTGACCTTGTGGAGATGTCTTTTGTCGCTGCCATAGCTGGAGAGAGGGTACTGGCTCGCCCAGGGTGAACTTCGGTCTGAAGCAGAGTAACTGCCAGCTAAGAGAGCCACCCAGGTGTCCCTGTTGTTTCTTTTATAAGTACTCTAGTACATACAGATCCGGCATCACTTTTGGTGGAGAACGTGATGGAAGTCTGAAGAAGGAAAAAAGAGAGAAGGTCAAATGGAAGATGTTAATATTAACTGAACAACAAGGTAGGAAGGCACCTGAGCCAGGACCTCAGACCAGCCAATGTGAAATTGTGAAGAAATTTCAATGAGATGAACTGTAGGAGGGATAGTTACACGGTCAGGCCTTAATTCACCATCATCACTGTGTCAGACAATGTGAAACTGTGAAGAAATTTCAATGAGATGAACTGTAGGAGGGATAGTTACACGGTCAGGCCTTACCTCTATACACAATCCCTTTTGGAGAATGGAAGCAAACGTCTGGATCATTCATACCCAAAGAAACCTTGAGTTTCCCCAAAGGGCTGTTTCAGGATTCTTGATTATTGGCACGAGATCAGGGGCGTGTTCCTTTACCTCTTCTCTTCGAGCCTTGGTCTTTTCTCCTGGTAAATGAAGGTAGGAACACCCACCTCCTTCACTGTCTGGATGGATTCAAGGAGGGTGCAGGAGCGCCAAGCACACGGAAGGCTTCATCTGTCGGTGCTGTCATTGTTAGGAATGCTTTTCCTTGTAAACACCTTTTATTCCCACGCGATAGCTTTGTAAAAGGCAGTTCCAGTGTCCCGTGCTCCGAATCACAGAAGCTCAGGTTTGGAGGGTGTTTTAAAGATCATCTCTGTTCCAAGCCCTCCCTCTTCATTTGGTGCCAGGTCAGAACCTTGCAAGAGTTTAAGGGAGTTCAGAGAAGGCTCATGATCTGGCACCTTCCTGAGGGATATTTTTAAACAGTTGCTTAGCATTTATTTAGGAATTTTTAAATTAGAACGACAGTGGAAAGCCTAAATTCCCCTTCTCATACTTGGTAACCTTGCTTTGGGCAAGGCCTTTAGCATAGTTTTGCAATTTACCATTTGAGTGATCAAAGTTCACTTCTGCGTTGAAAGGCAAGACTTATTGCATCCACTAAAGCTCTTTTGCAGCACTGAATCAATGAGTACAGGCTGACATTGGAACATGAGTAGTAATTAATCAGTAATTAACATTATATAATGAGTTTATAAGTCTCTAGATCTTAGAGTTTGCATGCCAGCATATTTAGAATTTGCTCAGCATCCCAAAACTAGGCAGTTTGGTGTTTCCTTTTTAAAACCAATCTAAATGCCATCTACCCTTTCAAAAAGGTTAATTTCTTATATCCAAGTGAGGCTACTTCTTGGTAGCCATCTTTCTCAATGGCCACCAAAACAGATTATGCCACAGATGAAATGGCCCTTAGGGTTCTCTGAGAACAAGCTTTA